CTTAGACATTTCTTAGTTAATGAAGTTGGCTTTAGTCACGTATGCGTTATAGTTGCTGCCTTTGGTAATTTGTGCTCTCTTCTGTTTTAAGATGCTCCAGTAAAAGAAGAATTTCACATAACCTTGTTTTTAAATTGCACTGTTTTTGAGGACTATAGCAGAGTCTTAATATCACTCATACATTACAACATAAAATACAACATGTGTTGAGTGGTGTGAAATTTTTTTTTAAATGATTCATTAATATAGTAAAATAATTTAGCAGTATTTCCAGTAGTTATCAGGTATTTCCCAAGCATCTGAAGCAGTTTGTGATCAGAAATTAGAAGGCTGAGCTGTCCAAATGTTATTGCTTTAAACTGCACTTGTTTTAATAAGAAAAAAATTTAAACTATATTCTCTAAAATATGATTTGTTACCAGTCAGTTAATTTTCCCATAATTTTTCACGCTTCATAACTTGAATATCTAAGCTTGTACATTATCTTGTGTTTTGCTATCCTTTTTACTGTAAAATGTAAATATTTTAAGGGATATTTTGATTTTAAAAATGATAAAACTTTCTCACATACTTTGTGTGTTTGATTTCATAGGTGTGAAGTAGTAGGCTAAATCAGTATAACAAACAAGATGTAGAATGACTCCTGTAGCTTTGCTTTACACTTCATGGCTAGTGATTATTTTTGACCATGCCAGGGCTTTTAATAAACAGAGCAGTTCAGATTTTATGGTGACTGGCATCCACTGATACTTTTTGAAAAAACAAAATATTTCTGTCTTACACTTTTTTAAAAATACAGTATTTTGCTCATTTTGTTGAATTTGCTTTTGAAAAAAATATTCTACCATTGGATTATTCTGCCCATCATGCTGTTTTTCACTATTGGGTCTAATTGTTTTTACTTAAGAATATTGTGTATAAAGACATTTGAATACATTGCCTTATCTATGAACACAGATTTTTGCACTTTGGTGTAGACTAAACCTCTTCTTTCTAATAATAGATATGTGATTAAAAGACAATAATTAACTTTTAAAATTGGTAATGTGTTTAAAAATAGCTTTCTATTTGCAGACATTGCACATAGCTCTACAGCCAAATTAAATAAGGTTAAATTTAAATATATTCTACCAAATAAAGGTGGTGTTAGCTTTTATTGTATAATTATTCCTAAGCCAGTAGCTCTGAAGATTTATTTCTCAATTAAATTAGGAACTAGAAGCCATATTTAAACCCTTAATTTAAAAATTCGACATGGCCTATTGTCTACAGGATGTGAACCATTCTTTTAAAAATTAGTTTCATTATTCAAGTGATAGTTGTGCTATTAATTCCATGGTTGTTAATAAATCATCAGTGTTGTAGTGTTGCTTAGCATTTCAACAAATTGGGTTGTTTCGGCCAAGAAATCTAAGTTTAAATATTCTTTTTCTCTTTCTATATGCATAAAAACATTCCTTTATATTCATTTTTCAAGTAGATAATGTTTTGTGTTTGTTAGATTTATATTCTTACTTAAAGTGGTAACCTTATTTATGTGATTAAGTTTTAAATAATTTCATTATCTGTATTAGATGTCTGTTATATAGGCTTTCTTTTAATCTGCCTTAGTCTCCTTCGCAGTCTGCTGGTGCTAACATGTCACCTCATCTTCTTTGTATCAAAAATTCGGTACAAGTCAAAATGAAGTCCACCCCTTAAAAATTAGCATGTCTGTCTATATCAGAATGGTTGTTTGAAAAGGTAATTTGTGGACATGATAGCCTGTCCCATACTGAGGCCAATACTAGGAGCAATATCAAATGAAGGTACACAACTCCAGCTATATGAATAGTGCAGCTGGAGTCAATGTATCTTTAGATCGACTCACTGCGGCATATCCACTGTGCAGGAGTTGACGGGGGAAGCTTTCCCTTCAACTCACCTTACTTTTCTTGATCTGGTTGAGTACTGGAGTCAACATCAGAGTGATCAGCAGTTGATTTTAAGGCGTCTTTACTAGATCTGCCAAATTCACCCCTAGGGGATTGATCCTCACATGGTAAATCTAGACAAGGCTTGAATCACTATCAAAAACATGCTGATTGGATATAGGACAACATGGTGTCCAATGTCTGGCTCTCAATTGTGGCCTGCAAAGATACTGGTGTTATAAAAATTATTAATTGATGATGGCGAGGAAATCTGTTTCCAGAGTCCTGCCCTTCTTTTATTAAACTCAACTGAATAAATTTCATCACAGAGCAGTAGTATAAAGCTGTGGCCCGCCGAGTTGGCCTCCCATATCTTCCCTTCCCCATAGCAATGGGAGCAGCTCTGGTAAGAACTAGAGATGTCAACAAGTAGTTGAGTAGACAATCAATAAGCCTGGGCTTATTGGTTATCTAGTAGACTACTCACATTTCCTTCCCCCTTGCTGCCTCTGTATCAGCAAGTGTGAGCCCACTGTATCAGAGGCAGCAAGGAAGGGGGAAGCAGGAGCTGCCTTATTGTTCTCCCCCCGCCCCCCGCTGCTGCTGCCTCTATCAGATAAAGGTATCAGCATGGAGGTGAGGGGGGGAAGAGATGGTATAGCAGAGCTGGTACTGGGGGGAGCCAGTGTTTATGCTTCTGCTCTTCCCCTTGCTGATAGGGGCATCAGTGCAGGGAACAGGGGAGGCTGCTGCAAAGCAGCCTCTGCCCACGGGGAGGCCCAGGCGCACAATAGACAAAGGGTACTCTGCATCCTGCTGCCGGGGTCCAGCCTCTGTCTACAGCGGGCCCACACTCGCTGTGGACAGAAACTTCTCTGTAGGATGCAGAGCAGCATCTGTCCATGGGAAGATTGGA